TTTGGTTCACTGAAGCCTCTACCTCCCAGGTTCAAGTAATTTTGGTGCCTCAGCCTCCCGAGTAGCTGGGACTACAGGTGCACACCACCACGCCCAGCTAATTTTTTGTATGTTTCCTAGAGATGGCGTTTCACCATGTTGGCCAGGCTGGTCTTGAATTCCTGGCCTCAAGTGACCCATCTGCCTTGGCCTCCCAATGTGCTGGGGATCCTCCCATCTCAGCCTTCTGAGTAGCTGGGACTACAGGCATTTGGCATAACGCCAGGCTTTTATTTTCAATTTTTGGTTGAGATGAGGTCTTGCAATGTTGCCCAGACTGGCATCAAACTCCTGAGTTCAAGCAATCCTCCTGCCTTGGCCTCCTACAGTGCTGGAATTACAGATGCGAGCCACCACAAATTTAAATTTGAAATTTTTAAATTTTAACAAATTTTTAAAAAAAGAGATGGAGTCTCACTATGTTGCCCAGGCTGGAGTCCAACTCCTAGCCTCAAGTCATCCTCCTGCCTCAGCCTTCCGAATGCCTGAACTACAGGCTTGAGGCACCTGGCAGGGCCACCTTAAACTCTCCTAAGTGGTTCAGTAGTGTTAAGTACATTCATACTATTATGAAACTAAGACTTTGAATTTATCCTCCACACAAGTGAGATTTATGGAATTAATAAAAGATTTCAGGCCTCTGTAGAGGTTTAGGAAGGTTGTTTTAGGGAGTGGGTGTAGTTGGAGTTAGGGGATGGAGACTAGCAGGACTGGAAGGGATTGTAAGCTTAAAAGCCTGCTGGGGGCCTTGTGAGTGAGGGCTGGTTTATGGCTTGGACACAGGGTTTTCTGCCAGAGGGGAAGTTAGAGAAGGGAACTCAACACACCCCTGGCGGAGTACCAAGACTTTATGGGCCAGATGCTTTCCAAGGGCTGCACGCTTCAGCTAGCCAGCCACATCTTGCCAGAATGTGTTCTGTTAACCCCTACAGTTAAAAAAGGATTGTGTGTGTGGGGGGGAGGGAGGGTTGGATTAGTTGCAAAAATGGAACAATTTGGAGATTTCACTTCTTCTTTTTTTTTT